AGTTCTCTCTTGCGTCGTCAGATTTATCCATATGTCTGCTCTTCTCTTACTCATTTTTTGAACGTTTTATGCGATGTGCAGCAAGTGTATGTTAGCTTATGTCCCGCCGGCTCATATGTACGTATCTAACCTCCGAACCACGCAGCTGATTCGTTCTGAATGAATCTCTTCCCAAATCGCCCTCCCTAACATTTTAGTCTAGTTTTTATTTGTTGACGAAAATGTCAATAGATTTACGTCATAGTTTTTGTCATTTAAAAAGAGTTTTAGTTCGTTATCGTCTCATTGTCGTCGGTGAAAAAAATGTCCTTGACGAAAATTATTCGTCAACGAAATTAACACTGGTACAGACCACCCTTTTCCCTTAAGATTTCCAATGGATTGACCAACCAACCACTGGTGACTGCAGTGTTTCTTCAGCCTCGCTAAAACCTATTCTAAATAATGAATGCATGGAGGGTGGCTTCTGGAATTTTTTTCTGGCCTTAGCACAGTTTGCCAGGGACAGTCTTATTTCCCTTCCGTCTCCTGTGGTCCCACAAGCCTGACGGAACGTTCTGAATAGATTGAATGGACTGTTTTTGCCATGGCTGTTAATATTTATTTGCATATTTTGAAAAGTCATTGAGCCTTGTAGTAATTTCAGTGTTGGGCAGTCAACTAACTTGTAGGGGGTTTGGAAGCTAGTTGAACCCTGATATTATAAGGCTCTTCTTCATTGTCTGATCATCATTTGATAAATTACCGCTTCCATGATCAATAAAAGTGTATTTAATGCTTTTTTGAAACAATAATTGCACTAGATGTAAAGCACTGAGTATTGTAAATGATAAACAATTGATAATAAGCCCAATTTACATAGAAAAGATAGACAGTAATTCAAGTTGAACTGGACTAAGGGTGTTTAGTGATTAAGACGCGGATTATTGCTCTAAAAATGGGAAAGTTCTGCCAAAAAAAGGAAAATTGTGTCATAATTTACTCACCATTATATCATTCCAAAGTTTTCTTTTTTCTGCAAAACAGAAAGAATATATTTTGAAGAATGTTGGCTACAGTCAATCGGTTTTGGTGTCCATTGATTTCCGAAGTATATGGACAAAAAAAAAAACACTGACATTTCTCAAAATATCTTCTTTTGTGTTCCTGCAATCCATTTAAGGGCTTATACTACCTTTACTGTTGGATAAGGACCTAACAATAGCAGGAGAAAGAATAGTAATAATGCAGCTTGTTAAATTTCATTGTACAGAACCAGACAGTCTGCACAGATGAAAGACTTCACAGTCGATTCGTGATGAGAAACCACTACATTGAGGGTGGCTTCTGGAATTTTTTTCTGGCCTTAGCACAGTTTGCCAGGGACAGTCTTATTTCCCTTCCGTCTCCTGTGGTCCCACAAGCCTGACGGAAACGTTCTGAATAGATTGAATGGACTGTTTTTGCCATGGCTGTTAATATTTATTTGCATATTTTGAAAAGTCATTGAGCCTTGTAGTAATTTCAGTGTTGGGCAGTCAACTAACTTGTAGGGGGTTTGGAAGCTAGTTGAACCCTGATATTATAAGGCTCTTCTTCATTGTCTGATCATCATTTGATAAATTACCGCTTCCATGATCAATAAAAGTGTATTTAATGCTTTTTTGAAACAATAATTGCACTAGATGTAAAGCACTGAGTATTGTAAATGATAAACAATTGATAATAAGCCCAATTTACATAGAAAAGATAGACAGTAATTCAAGTTGAACTGGACTAAGGGTGTTTAGTGATTAAGACGCGGATTATTGCTCTAAAAATGGGAAAGTTCTGCCAAAAAAAGGAAAATTGTGTCATAATTTACTCACCATTATATCATTCCAAAGTTTTCTTTTTTCTGCAAAACAGAAAGAATATATTTTGAAGAATGTTGGCTACAGTCAATCGGTTTTGGTGTCCATTGATTTCCGAAGTATATGGACAAAAAAAAAAACACTGACATTTCTCAAAATATCTTCTTTTGTGTTCCTGCAATCCATTTAAGGGCTTATACTACCTTTACTGTTGGATAAGGACCTAACAATAGCAGGAGAAAGAATAGTAATAATGCAGCTTGTTAAATTTCATTGTACAGAACCAGACAGTCTGCACAGATGAAAGACTTCACAGTCGATTCGTGATGAGAAACCACTACATTTACTTACTGCAGCAGCTGAAAAAAATGAAGACATTACACTGGAGAAAGAAAGGGCTACATTTCTTGGAATGCAGTGTCATCCTCTGCAGCTGATGGTGATGAGTTCCTGCAAAATACATGGAAATAATGCTGCAGTCTTGCCAGTTTGTGTCAGCGAGCACTACTGTATATGCATTCGTGTGAGTTGCGGTTTGCCAGGACTTGCTTCAGTCTCCCAGAAGAGGCCACAGAATGATCACACTTACTTGTCTGTGGTCTGTGGGTGTTAAAGCGCTCTGGTGTCAGTACTTCTGCTACACCGCTTCGTGCACGCATCCGTTGTAGTTTAGTGGTCAATAAACCGGTGTCCAGGGGCCAGCAGTCGCCATCTTTTCAGCCAGCATTTATTGAGCGAATTTTAGTTATAGTGCCTTGTTTATGGCCAGGCTGTAAATCTGCAAATGTAAATGTGCCTCAAGCAACACAAAGCATAAATAATCAAAGACAGACTATTCCTAACAAAATTTTAATGCACCGTGTAATTTATCTCCTTTCCTCTCTTGCTGCTGTAAGTGTCTAGTAAGTACTGGATGTGAACCAGCGAAATGGATAACGTTTGAAATGTATCCGCAAAAATAACGTTATACGGACTCTATGTGTGTGTGTCGTTGCAAAAACCAAAAGCTCAGTTGGCTCAAAAGCAAAATCGGACCAAATTAGAACAAATAAACAGTTCGGTTTATATGGAGCTTTTGGACACTGCAGTGAAATCAATCCCTGCAGTGGATGATCAATAGTTTGAATAGGCTGTGAATAAAGTGATTGACAATCACCTGCGGTTCAGCTCACAGCTGGAGGT